TAGCGCATTCTAACCGCTCAGTTCTCCTGCCTGTCTTCCAGAGGGGACTGATCGACACCCCACAGCGGGCTGTACTTGGCAAGGACGGGACAGATGAAAGAAAGACCACAACCCGGGTGAACCTCACGTTGTTACGCCCGTGAGAGAAGTCTGTCCAAACAAGAACACATACTGCAGGATTCCGTTTGAACAAAGTTCTAGAAAGTGCACATGAATCTACAGTGACAGAGAGCAGGCCGTGGTCACCTGTGGGGGGGGGGAGTGGGGAGAGACCATGGGGGCAGGGGCGCAGGAAACTTTGGGGACAGTGGAGGTCAGCGTCATCTTGACTGTGAGGATGGTTTCTTGGGTGTAGACGTGTCAAAAGTCACCGAACTGCACACTTCAAACATTACAGTTTAGTGCTCTGACCTCACAAAGAACAGAACAGAAGGCGGGGCTCCAAGGTCTAACCGTGAGCTGTGTGCACAGGCTGCTTTCGAGGTGCTGGGAATTCCCTCCAGACCTCTCCTCAGCCTCTCGAGAATTTCATCACCTCTCTGCTGTTTCCTAAATAGCTAGAATACCCTTTTTTTTCCCCCTCATTAATATTTTCTTCTGTTCTCCTGTTTCAAAACCCGCTACACTTTGGGGTCTCCTCTCTTTGTAGAACATATTCACTGAAGGAAAAACACTCCCCCTTTTAAGTCCCCTCCTTTCTTACCGGAGGCTATGAAACAAATCACAGAATTTTTCCTGCCTGCCCTTACAGCTGAGCCACACCATCCACGGCTGCGCTGCCCAGTTCCCTGGTTCAGCCACGTGTGGCTATTGAAACTTAAATTACATAAAAATAATAAAAACTCATCCTCAGGCGCCTGAGCCACACGTGAAAAGTGTGTGGTCCTGTGTGGAAATTTTCGTCCTCACGCAGAGCTGTGTCAGACGGATGGACGGATGGCTGAAAACCACAGAGAGTGGCCTTGCCCTCCAGGAACCAGACGGCTCAGCATGGGGCAGGAGCAGAGGAGAGCTGTGTTCCTGCCTTGGGCGCACACACATGGGCAGCTGGCATCTCTGTGGGACCCGACCTTCGGGTAGGAAGGACCAGAAGGGCACTGCCCCTGGCTGAGCAGGAAGCAGAGGCTCTCTGCCCTGCGGGGCCTGCTTGTTTCCGTGTTTAGGGAGAGTCTGGTGTGACTATAGAGCTCTACTGGACCAGTATTTAGAGGCGACCATGCAAGGCAGCTCCAGGCACCAAATCTTAATGGCTTCCTCTAATAAAAGCTAAGAACTGAAAAATAACTGCTTTAACACGACAACACGGCAGAAGAAGAAACTGCTCACCTGTCCAAGCAGGGGTGAGTCTACTGTCTGTAATGTGTCACGTAGAAAGAAAACCTCCTGATTCAGTATATTAATTTACTTATGAAAAAATGCCAAGTGAGCCTCACTGTAGAGTCGGATGATGGCTTCTGTCCCCTCCAGCTTCATGCTGTACAAATAACTCTCAGTGAAAAGCCTTACTTTTGTACAAGGTGATTCGACACACAGTTTTGGATAGAAATAAACTTCCTAGCTTATAAATGCTGAGCAAACACCCACAGCCCCATCTCACCGCACTGGAGTCCCTGATGAGGAGGAGGGGGTGTGTCAGTAGTAGTTTCTTTAGGGCCAAAAAGATTTTCAGGCAGAGGAAGGCTAATAAAACCACACCTTGTCTCTCAGACACTTTGCCCTTCTGTGAGCCAGCACTTGAGCCCTGTGCTGCCCAGGATCAGAGACAACACGGCCTCAGCCAGAGCCTCCCTGCAGCCACCGTGAGCAGCGCTGCCTGGGCTTGCTCCCAACCGTCCTGATCAGATGCCCGTTTCCAACCTTCTTTCCCATTGAGAAAGAACTCAGTGGGTTTTAAACACGTTGTATGGGACACAGATTCAGCATTTTTAAGATCTCTGTAGAGGTTTCAGAAGCCAGCAGCATCCATTTGGCCCTGCAAGTCTCAGCGGGACTCACTGGCCCTGATGACAAGGACAAAACCCTCACAGTCAGAGACCACGGCGCCCCACACTGGCCAGCCGAGGCCACCCTGTCAAGGTGCTCTTCCCTGACTCGGCTAGATCGGCCTTGCCGCAATTCTCCAGGCAAACAACAGCCCATCATGGGACTTGGCACTTGAGATGAAAGCAATGTGCCACCTCTGGCAACCCACTGGCTTTACAGGGGGTGCCGTGTGGCCAGGGCAGCCAGAAAGGGGGAGATGGATTGCAGGGTGTGTGGCTCCCAGAGGCGAGGCTGGCACTCCAGAGCCTGCAGACTCTGGGTTTGGGCCCCTCCCGGGCCCATCTCTAGCTACCGTCACTCCCATGGATGAGCCACCTGGGGGCCAGAACATACTCGCCATCTCTCACTGCGGCTTTTACGGTCAAGAAGTGTGGGGCAGGGGCGTCTGCCTTGCTTCAGGCTCCCTCTAACTCTGCAGATTCCGTGTGCTCGGAAGGCTGCAGCGGCTCAGGTTACCCAGCTCTGACTAAGCCTTCCTGAGCAGGGTGACCCCAGAGCAGGAGCCACTCTGCATCACACACGCGCCTGCAGCCGGGGCTGGGCCGGCTCCCGGGTCTCAGGCCCTCAACTCTGCTCTCAGGCCCCGTCTGCAAAAAGAAGCCAGGCCACCATGTATACTGGTCTTTTTTGTCCGCTGATTTAGTAAATGAGCTCAAGTGCAAAAATGGTTACAGAGTTTGCCCCCTCCCCCCTTAAAAGATTTTTTGACCTGGATGGTTTTTTAGTCTTTTGAATTTGTTACAATATTGTCTGCTCTATGTCTGTTTCTTAACAGCTAGGCATGTGGGATCTTAGCCTCCCAACCAGGGATCAAACCTGCGCCCCCTGCACTGGAGGGCCAAGTCCCAACCACTGGACCACCAGGGAAGTCCCTGGCCCTTTTCTTGGTTGTAACCTCACATGAAGTCTCTCCAAGGGCACATCCTAAGCGTCAGATCACAGCCTGCGTGCCCACCAGCCAAGCGCTCCTGCGCTCTGTGGCCCTGCTCAGCATCTCTTAATGGCGGGGGCGGGGCGGGCTCAGCCGCCAGGGCACTCTCCCCAGGCAACCCGTGCACCCGGCTCTCAGTCGAGGGGCGGCAGCGGGGAGGCCAGAAGCACTCTCGTCATGGCTACACTTGAACTGAGCACAGCAGAGCAGGGGCCTCAGCCACACAGAGCTAATTCTTAGGCTAGAACATTAGGATTCTCAACCTGAAAGTTGTCCATCTTTCTCCTTTTAGTTTCTTCTCTTTCACTATACTGACCACACAGATACAGGACAAAAGAAAACAAACCTACTCAAAACCTCAGTGGGCATCAAATGGCGGCTGAGAGCATTCAGGGAAGTGGGCGGTGCTGCCCAGCATGAGGCAGCCACTGGCCCAAGGCTAGTGAGGGGAACCCCAGTGCTCCAGCCTGGGGGTGCAGCTCTGTGCCCTCCCACAGCAGCATGACATGGAAGGAAGTCAGGGGTCAGGGCAGACTTGGTCCTGGCCTGGTTCTTTTAGACCATGTGACCTTGGCCCACCCCGAGTCCAGGCCAGTTCTTTCCCCAGTAAATGCCTAGGGCCACTCTGAACTCTAGGCTTCCACAAGCTCTTGCACCCCCTTAAGTCGAGAGTCCTAAATCAGTTCTGGTGGAGCCTGGCACCCCTATCAATAGGCAATCGCCTTTTGACAGATGGATGGAAAACCCAAGAGCAAAATAAGCCACTGTAAGTAGGGACAACGCAAGGCATGGTGGAATTTTATAAACATGCTTTAAACCAAACGAAGAGGACATAAACTGCCCTGCCTTAAGAAAACGCCAAGATACTGAAGCAATCTTCCATTTCAATACTAAAATAAAAAACATGTTAACCCAAATTAAAAAGAAATTTAACTCATTTAATAAGAAACTTCCTATTCATAAGTCAAAGAGCATCACCTAGTGCCTGGAACATCAGAACGTCAGGGCTTAGAGATCACCCATGGCAGCCGACTCATATGACTGATGGAAAATAAAAATCTGGAAGAGGGGCAGGCGACATGGACAAGGTCACAGACGCAAAGTAGGAAGGAGAACCCGGAGCCCCCGAATCCACCTGGCTCTGCCAATGGGGCTAAGTATTTCATAGTGAATGAATGAAGGTAAGAGGTGTTCCCTGCAATGCATGACTCTTCTAACCAGTTCACAAACAAGTGAGCTCCAGGCTATGAGAGGACGACTGAATACTTCAAAATTCTACTTTTATCTTCTCAGAAGCCACAGTGAAATTTCTCAGCCTTTCCCACATAAGCTGACTATCTTCCCAACGGAGGAAACCACAGAACAGAGCACTCGCCTCCAGAAACCTGGAGTCTTTCGTCTGATGCAAGAAAAGCAACCTAACCATGGCTTTGGTTATGTGTTTACGTCAGTCACCAAATTCACCCAAGTCACCGACCCTCAAAACACTGGGTCAGAGAGGCACGGAAAAGATCCGACAACACCTCTTCTGGCCGCAGATCCCTAAGACCATAAATCCCCTTCCTGGAAGGGTTTAGAATTGCAGCAACCAGAAGTAGTAACTGCGGTCTTGAACACGTTTGCGCAAAACACACACACAAAAGCAAAAAGAACTGGCGTCTGCAATGAGAGGGGGATATAGAGGAGGCCCGGGAAGGTTTAGGTTGTAAGGTCCCCCAGGAATGCCAGGTGATTCAGGGCTGGGGCTCCCGGCTGGAGCAGCCTGCCAAGAGGAAGTGGGAGCCAGGGCTCACCCCCGGGTCGGGCTCACTCCCCCGTCGGGCTCATCCCGGGGTCGGGCTCATCCCTGGGTCGGGCCCACCTCCCGGTCGGGATCACCCCCGGGTCGGGCTCGGGGCTTGGGGGCACTGGTGGTCTGGGTGGGGCGGGAGCTGGGGCCCGCGCAGGGCGGGGGCTGAGGGCGGGTCCCCGGGCGGGGCGGGGCGGGGGTCCCCGGGCGGGGCCCCGGCGCGACCGGCCCACGCACCTCCTCGGCCTGCTTGCGCAGCGCCTTCTCCCGCTCGTACTGTGTGAGCAGCTGCTCGTTGTCCTCGCGCAGCAGCTCCAGCTCCACCTCGTGCTCCTGGTTCTCGCTGAGCACCGAGTCGAGGTTCTCGAGAACGTTCACCACGAGAGGCATCAGTTCCTTGACCACCTCCTCGTCGTAGCAGTGGATGAGGCGCTCGAACTCGCGGTAGATGGAGCCCGCCAGGCCCGACACCCGCTCCGACATCACCGAGCCCGAGCAGTAGTCGTCCTGGTAGACGACCACGCCGCCGCCCTCGTCCATCTGGATCTCCATCATCGTGGCCACCGCAGCCGCCAGCGCGGCCCGCTGTCCGCCGGCGCGCCCGCCCGCCCCGGCTGCCCGTGGTCCGCAGGCCGCGGCCCTTCGTCGCCGCCGCAGCCGCTGTCGCCTCAGGGCTCAGCCGCCGCCGCTGATGCTGATGCTGCGCCCGTCACTCAGCTGCCGGAAGTCCCGCCGCCCGGAAGTCCCGCCCGCCAGACTACGGGGGCGGAGCCCGCCGAGGCCCCGCGGCGCTGCGCCGCTAGGGGTCGCAGGGGCCGTGACGTAGGAGGAAACCCGTCTCCGGGCCGGAAGCTCGGTCGAGCGGAGCTGGGAGAGCTTCTCGTCACGCGTCCTCCCGCGTCCGCGATGCCGGCGTGGACTTTTATGAAGTGACGGCGTCTGTCCAAAGACTATCTATAAATGACCTTGTACGGCTTAGGGACCTAGCGAGCGGCCGTGTGCCCACTCTTGCCTCCAAAGAAATGGGCGGAATCCTAGCGCGCCCCTCCCTCCCCTGAGATGCTCGCAGTGCGGGCCTGGTCGCTGTGGACTTGGCTGTGGAACTTCACTGCACAGCAGTGCGTGCTCCTCAGAGTAGGCTCTCCGAATTCCCTCCCCAGGGCCCGCGCCCTCCCATGTTCCCTCCGCAAGTTGACCGACTGGTCCCTAAATCCAGTAACAAAGTCTCATTTAGTACACTTCTGTGTCCTGATACTGTGTAACTTCTTCAGATTTCCCAGTTTCACTTGAGCTGTGTAACCTAACTCCTACACCGAGTTTTTAATTTCAGCGACTTTTGGGGGTTGCGGGACACGTGGGATCTTAGTTCCCCCGACCAGGGATGGCACTTGTGCCCCTTGCAGTGATGGCGAGAAGTCCCTCAACGGTTAAGTTTCCATTTGTCCTGCTTGACTAATTCTACCAGTTTTTATAGGTTCTTATTTCTTCCACTTTTAGCCACTTGATTTGCATTTTTTTCCACTGTCATCTGAGATTGTGAACCTAAGACATACACTTTCAACTGTGTATGGGGACCACACAGATGGTGTGAATCCTGATCAAAAACCCATGAGTGGCAGCTTAGTGCCAACAGAAATGCTTTTTATCCCTGTCCTGATGCAGCGCTTCAAAGTGAGGTCCTACTAACCTGATTGCACCAATGAATGTTCCTGCCGGTCAGGCCCTAAATACTATTGCACATTGTTCCCCTTGCTGTTATGGGTGCTCACCCACCTCACTGAGAAAGGGTTGGAGCTTTCAATCTCACATTCAGCCTGCCTGGGGTTTCATCTGGCCAACTGGAAAACTAAGCCTGAAACAATTACCAACCTACTAGGAACATTAGGAAGACCATAAAAGGGGTTTAGTATCATTTCTAGCAAATAGTAAGCATGCAATAAATATAGACTTGTTTATTTTCTCAAAATGATAAGCTAGGACAGATGAAATGTTTCTTCTGGTAAACAAGTTACAGAGGAAGGTTGTAAATGTTCTGGGGAATGTCTGAGATTTCTGCCCTAGCCCTCTCCTGGAAATGTAGGCCCTTTGGAATTACTGAAATGTCTAATAGAGTACAGCAGCCACCACTACAACAGTGAGAGGCCAAATGAGTTGGCATCAACTTTATTAGTTTTCACAACATGTTTGGGCAGATTTATTACTTGAAATTGGTTAGAGAAAATGAAGTTTTAACAAAATGATATGCTGGATAATTCTTGATGCTTACTGAAGAATAACTAGCACACTCTGAGAGCTAAAGCTAACTGAAATAGAACTTGCTTCCTTTCAGATTTGTAAAGATAATTTGCTATTCAGCCTTTTCTTTTTCTCATTTTAAGACCCTAAAATCTAAGATGTCTGGACACACAGGTTTCAAAAGTTCTACTTTAATTTCTAAGTATTCATCCCAAATGCCTGCTAGTCACTTAGGTCCCTGTAATGTCCGTCATTTCTTCCTAAGCTGAAGTTTAGATAGCACTTTGCAGTCACACATGTAACAGGAAATTTCATTCCTGAGCTCCAAGAATGCTAAGGATTAAGAATATAACAAAAATTCAGAAGAAATGAACAGGATAACACGGGAGGAGACAGACATCCTTGCAGGGTTCGACTCACAAAGGTGTTAGAACAAGTTTCACTCTGTCAAAAGAGCCAGTATGTTTCTAGATAAAGCACAGAACTGAAGAGGGAATCCTTAGTTTCCATTTGTCCCCATAACGTAGGGGAGCAACCTTGGTCCTCTGACTCAGTCACTGCCTGGCCTCTGGAGACAAACAGGCTGCCACACTCACTGAGGCCAAGACCTCAGTGCTTGTCTGCGGCTGGAGCAGCTGCTACAAGTAGGTGCTAGTGCCCCACCCAATCCTGGGAGCACATGCTGCACTCTCAGAAACATTTTCAGATGAACAAGTGAAGACAGTGCCAGGTCACCTATGTTGGGTTTCTCTCCTAAGTGCTGTCAGGGTAGTTGGCCCTGATGCAGCAGGCAGAATGCGGTGAAGTTTCTTCTAGGGGGCTTTCCAGGCAGGCTGTCTGAGTAGCTCCATTACCCGCAATCCACTTAATGCATGTAAGGATTATACATACGGCTAATACATAGAAAGGAAAAACAATCTATGCTTTTTCTATAGGGCGCGAATCTACAGGCAGATTCTAATAGGTCAGCACTTCATCTATTCATGGCCAGGCTTCACGGCAGTTTCAAAATCAACTCAGAGGCAAGTTCTGCAGGAAAATGAGTGGTGTTAAGAGAAAAAAGAATCATTGCCTTCAACTTACAGAAACTAAAAAGAACACTGCCACGTTCCCATCCATTCTTTTAGAAGCTAAGTTTTTGGTTTTCAAATGAAAAAACCTTGAATCCATAAACTTTCAGAAGATTAATTTGGGCATCCTCTGGCTTTAAAAAAAACAAAAAGGCAAACCCCTTTAACCAATGAAGAGCTGTGAGGAAAGGAGCAGAGTTCAAGCTCTGGAGAATGGATGCAGAGGGAACACGTGAGCACATAGGACCGTCTGCCCGCCCACCCGCCCGCCCACCCTCACGCGGACACACACATACACTGTGCACATGACCAACAGGCAAAGACTCTTGAGTACATGATTGCTAAGTTTAATTCAAAAGCTATACCCACTCCTGCCTTGTAAAAATAATAGGCTCCTCTCAAGGTTACATTGTGATGTGAGCACAGGTTTGTTGTTTCCAATGACAGCTTTACAAAAAAGTTGGCACCAAATGCATGTAAAAAAAGTTTGAAGGCTTAATAAAAACACAGACCAGTAATTTCTCAATGTAGCTTGGAGGCTGAGAAAAGGATGCAGAGAGTTAATGAACCTCCCAAACATAGGCAATCCCCAACGTACAGAGCATTTTCCAAATACAAATGGCCTCCCCCATCAGGTTCAAAGGAGCAAAGTTTTTTGCGGCTCCTCCCATGACCAGACCATCCCAGCTCCCTCAACCGAGGCCCATGGCCCCAAGGAAGGAAAGGAAGAGGGTAACGGGACGAGAGTAAGGCGACGCGGTCCTGCTGCGTTGGGCTCTGCCCCGGTGGTGATCTCCTCCCCCAACCCCCACTCAGCCTTGGTTCCCAGCTCTGCCCCAAAGTCCCTGCCAGGGGACTGATTTAGAAAGCTCTTCCCCTCGTGCAGCTGACAGTAAGGCCGAAGCCCTGAGGGCCAGCAGCATGTCAGGGTCTTCTTGACCATCCAATATGGAATCCACAAATCGTTTTCTTGTATGTTAAAACACACAACAAAACGGTTATAAATAGTTCACGCCTACTTTTGGAACATCTCATTGTAACTTGTGTAAGTCAGTGTGTTTGAGCTTAATAGCTAACCACCAGTTATGTCAGTTTTTAATGGGGGAAAAAATGCTCTGAGTTTCAGACAACTTTCTTATAAACGACCACTTGAAGGCTGGAAGGAGACAGGAGGCGCTTGAGAGAATCACATGGAATAAGAGTTTCTGAGCTCCAAAGTCAGCAGGTGGACAGGAGCGGGTCTTTGGTTGGCAAGCACCGTGCAGACCCCCAGTGCTGGTGGAGGGTGTGGAGCCTGGCGGGGAGCTCCCACAGGCACTGGTGTGTTCAGGCCACTACACGCGTGGCCACACTGCAGTGACGAAGACGTTTCTAGCACCTGTATGAACTTAGTGGGCACTCGGACCCATAGTCCCCCCGACAAACTGTTGGTCTCCCGTGACTGTAGTATAGGTGCTGACACTGTAGCCCTTTAGAGGGACAACGGGAGAAACTTCCATCTGACAGACTATAGCATCATGACTCTTGCCAGTCTGCTATCTCTGCTGGCAAATGCCATGGAGTGAGACAGTTGAGAATGGACTGCCAAACTATTTCATCCCCTGGCCTGAGGGCTCTTAAGTCTGTCTGGAAACCGAATGTGGCCCAGAGGCTCTGCAAAGCTTTAGAAAGGGCGCCCCAAGAAAACTCTCCCTCCTCTTTGGCGTACCTGAGCGACGGGCTTTCTTCTAGAAAGGTGTCAGAGACAGACTAGAGTCAACAGTTACCGAAGTAAAGCTGGCACTTGAGAACAGGTCTTGAGCTATTACCAAAGAAGCCAAACCTAAGAACCCAGGGTTCTCAGGCATCTACGCTTCCCACTGTCAGCAGGAATATAAAGCAGGACACAGGAACAGTTTAAACAACGCCAGTACCTGGATATGTCTGGGTAGTTTTAAAGTCCTGTAGAAGGTAGTGGTCTTGCCGACAGGAAGTGTCGCTGGTAAAGGGAGCGGTCCACATCACTGGTGAGGAGTAAAGGCCCAGACTTAAGGCTGATGAGGAAAAAAGGAACAACTCACAAGCAAGGCTGCCTGTAGAGTCGAGTCTAAACCAGTCTCTCGTGGACAAAAAGCAGAGATTCCTACATTAAGACCTGGCCGAGGTTTGAGAGGGCAGAAGCAGGGTGCAAAATCTCTCCATAAAGCATATGACGGAACACAGCATTTTGGTTTTCTGTTGACAGCTGCTGAGGAAAAGCAACCAAGACGTTTCAAGAAAATCTCTGGAATGGAGGTGAGAAACAGTGGGGCCGAACAAGTCCCTGGAATGGCTCCTCTGTCCCACAGCGGCGGACCTGTGGTTTTGGTTTTCTCTCAAAGGTTTTAATCTCTGCTACTGTGTTAGTGATTCCTAGATACCCGATTAGCAAACACACCGAGGACGTGAGACCCCACTTCTCGGGGGCACCTGGCCTGGCCCCACTCCCCCCCACCCACCCGGGAGCTCCTCTCACACCAGGGCCCCATCTCCTCCCTTGGAGTCCAGAAGGTGGGTCCTCATCTCGAGACGGCCGTTAACTGGGTAGCAGCCTCAGGTGTCCACCGGAGAGACCCTCTCCCCACCCTGCTCCTTCAGGCTAAAGGAACTACACTATTTGAAATCCTATATCTGGAGTTTCTTGTCTGGCTATGGGACGCGGCAGGCCTCTTAGTAGAAGGAGATGCTGGACTTGCCTCCGGGCGGGTTCAGGACTTTGTTGTGGGAGCGAGGCCGGGGACCCAGCCGGGGTTCGTGGCTGTCGACGGTGGGTGCCGGCTCCTGGACGCGGGCTGCTTCTCTTGGGCCGCCGGGCTCACCTGGATCTTGTCTGGGTGAGGCACTGGCTGCAGGACAGAGTCAGCACAGGGCCCGTCAGAGGCTGCCCGTCACCTGGTGGGCAAGCCGCACACGCGAACCGAAGTCTGTGGCCTGCAGCGGCGCGCACAGCATGGTGTTAGGCCAGGTCAGCACAGAAGGCCCTGAGCCACGCTCGGGGGAACACCTAGGGGTTGTCTCCACGCTGCTGGCTGGCCTCCATGCTGCTCCCTACCACCGCAAGTCTGAAGAGAAAACCTCAGAGCGAGTGAGAAGGGCGGGAAGCTCCTAAGTGGAGGGCCCAGGCAGGATTCCCTGGACTTCCTGACTGACCCCGTTCCCACCTCTTCATCATCAACTGAAGGCAGTAATCAGCACCCAGTCAGGTCGGGCACTCTGGGACTGAGCCCCACACCCAGCCCCATGAGTGGCAGCCCACCGTGGGGTGACCTGAGGAGGCCGCCCGCCACCATGAAGCCCTGCAGTCCCCCCCCACCCGCTGCCAGTGCAGCCTCTGGTCAGAGTTCATTGAAGGCTTTGGACCACTGCCATTCACTATACAAGATCAGCTTCTAGAAGAGGATGCTGTGGCCTGAGGCCCAGACTGACCAGCACGGACAAGAGGTACAGAAAAGCCAGTGGGAACACTGTCACTGAGTAACTGAGCCCATTTCCCCTGCCTCTTTCCTACACAAAACCCACCCACGGTCACAACTCTGCCGTCTTCATCAGCAGGTGGGCTGGGGCACAGGGACCCCCCCGGTCCACCAGCAGACCCGTAGAGCTGAGCCCCGGGGAAGGGACAGACAGTGAGCTCACCTCTGAGGTCTGGTGTGTCCTCTCCCTCACACAGGAGCATGTGGTCCTGCAACAAGGCAAACCCAGGTCAATCCACTGCTCGGACACTTGTGGCCTTGCTCAGGTGGACGAGGAGAAAGCTGTGGGTGACCCGGGTCAACTTTTATCTTTAAAAAGTGTCTATTTGGACAGTTTTAACTGGAAACAAAGCCTCAGGAAGAGCCCCGTGAGCCCCCAGGTAACCCTGCTCCACAGCCAGTGACACCAGCCCACCTCCACTCTGGCCTCAGCCACACTCCTACCAGCTTCCAGACCCCGCCCCCTCACAGGCTGATTGGAAAGCAAATCCTGTATTTCACTGATCCATAAATGTTTCAAGATGCAGCTCTTTGAACTGCAAAAGTTAATGACCCCTTAAACGTCTCACACAGGGTCGTTTAACTTCAGCAGGCGCTCTCACTGACGGCCCACCTGTGCATCAGAGCCCCACTCCTCTCTGCGGCTGAGCCATCCCCAGCGCGTGCGCAGCACAGCACAGCACCTCTGGCTCACCCAGTCACCTGGTGATGGGATAGCGGGGCTGCATCCACCCTCTGGTTACTGAGGACAATGCCATTAAACCAGGTCTCCCCAAGTATCTGTTTGCTTTGTTTTCACAACTGAGGTTATATACCTAAGAGTAAAACTGCTGGTTCATACAGTAAAATTCTGTGTTTTAACTTCTTCAGAAACCACCAAACTGTTTTCTATAGTGGCTGCACCATTATGCATTCCCAAGAGCAGTGTCGGAGGGTTCCCATGTCTCCATGTCCTCACCCTTCCTTTGTCTTTGTGATAACAGCCATCCCAGAACGTGTGATGTGGTATCTCGCTGTGATTCTGATTTGCATCTCCCTACCGATCATGTGCTAACTGACCGTTTGGATGTCTTCTTTAGAGAAATGTCTATTCATATTCTTTGCTCCCTCCCTTTTTTGGTTCTGAAATTTTTATTTTTAAAAATTTATTTTCTTCAAGTATAGTTAATTTCCGATGCTGTATTAATTTCTGCTGTATGGCAGAGTGACTCAATTATACATACATACATATATTCCTCTTCATATGCTTTTCCATTGCGGTTCATCACAGGCTATTGAGTATAGTTCCTTGTGCTACACAGCAGGACCTTGTTTAACCATCATATATAAAATAGTTCACATTTGCCAACCCTAGATCTCCATTTCATCTCTCCCCCTTGCCTTTACCCATCTTTGAATGTGTCTGTCTTTTTGTTGTTGAACTGTAGGGGTTCTTTACATATTCTGCAACCATCAGTCTTTGAAAAGGAATTCACACTGTTTCCTATATTCTGCGTTACTCTGATTGAATCCCTGTGGCATCCATTAATAGGAGGTTTGGTCGGATTCAGGTTTGGTTGTTTCGACAAGAATTCAAAAGTGACCCATGATGAACTTCTAGCATGAAGCCCATCATTTCTGGAGGTGTCCTGTTTTCTGATGTATGAGCAGCCACTGATGATCGCTGCCTAGACCTACAATTTCATTACAAGCTTGCAAAATGGTAATTTCTGAATTCTGTAATTCACTCGTCATTTATGGGCTGGAATACTATGAGGAAACTTCCCCTCAGCAGCTGTCATCTGAGGTACATACAGTTCATGAAGAAACACTGGCTAAGTAAGTGCCTGATTCTATCCGTCAGCAGTTTTCCAGATGGACATTCTCCAAAGGGGACAAACTAGATTTTTAAAAATAGTAGCAGGAACACATAAATTCTAAGTATCTGGTGAATTTTAATCCAATGTAGCTACTCTACTTATTGACTGATGACAACAGTGAAGTGTTGCTGAGAGGCAAGCTGCCCCGTTTTAAGTTCCGTTTTATCAGTACCCTCAGCAGCTCTTGGTGGCCTGCCTGCAGTGGTTCACCCCTGCCACCAGCGTCCCCCAGGGCTTGTCATCACGAGGCTGGAACACACTCTCCAATGACTCAGGGCAGTGCTGATGACTAATGGCTGCAGCCAGGAAAAGCAACGTCACCCGCCTTGTCTCCTCCTAACGCACGCCATACCTGCTTGGAACCTTTTTAGACAAGTGCCTGGAGCCAGCTCTGCCTCTGTCACCCTTAGGTCTGCTCTCTGAATGTAGTCCGTACCTTGGGTTTGTTTGGGTGTGCCGTGGGTGAGGCAGCAGCGACGGGGGACCCGAAAATGTCACTGGTCTTGCCCCCCGGTGGGTTCAGACGCGGTCGAGTCTGCACAGGCCCCGATTCGTCAAATATACCGCTTCCTTTTCCCCCTGCAGAAACAAGCAGAGTGATGAGCAGCCCGGAATACCCACCCAACCCCTCCACGCTGATCACTTGAGAGACCTCCCCTCATGGCGACCAGTCCTGAGTTCAGCCTGAGGGTGAGGTGACTGGGTTGACAAGGGATCCTGAAAGACCCACATCACACCCAGCCCCTTCTCATGTCCGGCTGGGTCTTCATCACTGGACCTGAACTGCACTGGGCTGGCTGCTAGGGGCAAGACGGGCAGGTGGTCTAAAACAGCATTTTCCCCTCTAGAGTGCCCTTAACCCTGAACTTTTCAGATTTTTCTGCTCAAGAATCTTCTGCATTAAACCCAGAAAAGTTCTTTCATACATTAAAGGCAAACAGCTGCTAACTTTTGAGGTGAGGTGGATAGAACTGAATTAACATGCCCTGTTCAAGGCAAACCTGTAATTTAGAAAACATTTATTAGTCATTCTCCTGACCTCAATCTGGCTGGAACTTCCAGTGACAATTAGATATGCCAGTGAATTACAGATATTTAACATCTTTGCTGCTGAACAGAAACAATTTGACAAGTTACTTTGAAAATATGCATCTCGGAAGTTAGTTCTTATAAGCTGGTGGCTGAGGCATAGACATGGGACATAAATGCTGACATTAACAGAAAGACTCTAGCACATGGCACCGGCCAATCACCCCTGCAATCAGCAAACACCAGCGCCTCCCTTCCACCGAGTCCCGAGCTAAGATTTATAATCTCACAGGAGAAAGAAGGCGCATTCCACACGCAGCTGAGACCAGACACAAGTTACCCGGCCCCTCTGTGCCCCATGTTCCTTACCCTCAGAGCAGTGGTAATAAAGGCCCCTCCCACCTCAAGGCGCCGAAGAGAGGAGTCATGACTCACTGCCGCTCGTGTGTGTCCAACACTCACGACAATGCTGGGACATAAATGCTCAGTGAAAATGGCACAAGACAGTATGGACGGCACACGGCTTCCGTACTGTAGACGGAAGGGTGTTCTCAAACATCTGGATCTCCATTACTCCACCCCCCCAAGGGCCCCAGCCCCCCAGAAATGCAGTGGCAGTGGTGGTGTGGGAGCTTAGGATTCTAAATGTGCTCATTTTTACAGCAGTGATCTTTGTTGACTGCCTCCAAGAAGTTAAAATTTACAGTCACGTCTTGGCTGTAATGACGCAGACAGACAGGACAGGGGCGAGCAGAACTCTGAGGACAGAACCCAGCACAAGAACCCTTTCTAGGGTGGGAGAAGCTTAGAGAACAGGTGGGTCTGACCGCAGGAGAAGGCACACATCCACGTCACGTCAGGCTGATCGCAAGCCTTCCAGTCCCAGCCACAGTCCCTGGGCTGGGTCCTGCTCAGCCACTGACCATCTGTAGGACAGCACCTGGCTGGACTAGGCGGAGGAGGGCCTGGAGAGGGAGCTCCCAGACACGCTGCTGTTACTGACAGGGTGTCGTCAGCAAAAACATCCAGGCCCCAAAGTGCAGAGAAGCTGCTGCCCAAGGCCACCCCCCGAATGCCTGTTACCAAGCTGTTGCTGGTCACGCTTAAGTAAATTCTAAGATGTGTGTTCAGCTTATTTTAAAATGTGAGACAAAAATAAAAGTAACTCAATCTGAAGGTTTTGGCTAGAAGCACTGCTCATTTAAAGACATTTAAAAAACTGTGAAACATGACAGAGAAATTCCTGAGACACAAACACAGAAAACATTCCAGCAATGATCACAGGTGAGCGTGGGTTAGTCTGACAGGACACCGCCAGCCCCCAGAAACCCGGGTTCCTTCCTCTTCACGTTCGTCAACACCACACTCGAAAAACACCAGAGTTCTGTTTTGAACTTTATGAAAAGTAATCACATTGTGTGTCTACTACTCAACACTTTACCTGAAAGATGAAGTGCGTTTTGAAGGTGGAAAAGATGCTCAACTCACTCATAATGAGAGAAAAATAAATCCAAGATACACTTTTTAGAGACCCAAATCTCAGGAGACACGACCCCATGCTAGTGGAGTGTGGGAGGCAGACGCTGCTGACGCCCTGAAGGACGTGTCTGAAGACCAGGCGAAGCATCAGCATTTTATACTGACCTGGCAATGCCATTTCAGAAGTCAGCCCCATCTGAGTATTTGGAGGTAAGCTGGCAGTCAGGAAAACCTATATCCAAAGGCCGAGTTCTGCCACCAGTGAGCTGCAGGCCCAGACTGGCCGGTGGACCGGAGCCTCAGCTCCTCTGTAGAGGGGGTCACATATCTCCCCAGGCTGTGGAGACGGCCAGCACCCCACACAGGCCCTGCAAACACCAAACAGCCTGCCCACGTCCATCCCCACCTTCAGGTCTAAACCAGGAGAGCAGGTGACACACGGTACCAACCAGCCCGGGTCCATGTCCAGGGACGGCCGGCAGTGGGGCCCCTCCTCCGCACGCGCTTGGTGGTGGTGGGGGGCCTCCCCAGAGTCCACTGGCTGAGTGCCGGCAGGATGCGCCTGCAGGTTTCATTCCGAGCTGCCCGTGAGACTTCATCACAGGTGATTTTCTCCCTTCGCTCCTTCCTGTCTTTGTTTTTAAAACATGTTTCTCCGTGTTAATTCATTCACCAGTTAAAATGAGCTTCTGGGCGATGGGAGGAGGCAGGAGGGGATTCCAGCATTTGTTAACTGCTCAGCTCTCATCTCAGAGCCCCTGGCAGGACAGAAAACAAACCCCAAACAACAGGAGCGCCAGGAGCAGAGGTTTCAGCACAGGGTGCCTCCAGGCGGCTGTTACACTTTGGTTTTCTAACTCTCTAGTTGGGTAGGGGGCCAGGCTGCCAAGGGGTCACAGATTTTCAAGAGCCTGGCAAAGCAGAACCACCCCATGTGGCATACTTCCTGGAGAACCTAGAGCCCCGGAGACAGCTGCAGACGCCACGGCGCTAAGCCCCGGCAGCCAGTATGCCCATCCCCAGGCGCCCCCTGTTTGAGTCTACCTGCTATAGCACTTGGTTGGCACAAAGGATACGCAGGGCTGAGCACTACACCAACTGGGTGCATGAGAATGTTACTCTGTAAGAACCACCTGCTTCTTGGGCTTCCCTGGTGGCGCAGTGGATAAGAATCCACCTGCCGATGCAGGAGACACGGGTTCAGTCCCTGGTCCAGAGAGTTTGAGATGATGCCGCAGAGCAACTAGGCCCATGCCCCACAGCTACTGAACTGCTTGCTCCAGAACCTGGGAGCCACAGCTACTGAGGTCCACGCATCCTCGAGCCTGTGCTCTGCAACCAGAAGCCATGTGCAGCTAGGAAGACTCAGCATAGCCAAAAATAAAAAACCCAACAAAACCACCTGCTTCTCTGCCATAACTAAATGCAAAGATACTGCAAACCTCCACCCCACCTGACCACTGAAAAACACACGAAAATCCAGCTTTTGCATCCATTGCTTTTGTTCCTCCAGGTCTGTGAAGCGATATTTGTACTCAGCATCGGGACAGGGTAGGGAGCAGTCCCAGCTCCGGTTCTGTTTGACTTCATCATTTGTCTGAAATACTGACTTCTGTATTGCCTCTCTCAGACCTTTAAGGATGGTACAAACGTTGCTTTTCCTGCGTGGACACAGATGGGGAAAGCCCCTCAGGTAACTACCACTGTGTGGTCACTCTGCTGGACCGTCCATCAGCCAAGAGAAAGGCTCTTCTGAGATTCCTCCCACTGGAGCCACTAAGAGGTGCGTCAGGACTGTAAAGCCACAGGGCTGCAGGCCAGGCTGAGCCGTCCTTTTTATTTAGTAGTCCTGCTCACAATCTGATTAAAAATACTCTGAACACACAACTTGCAGGCAAGTTCAAGAATCTGAAGGAGTCCACCAGCCAGTGTGGGGAGCCTCCCCAGCGAGAAGCAGAACCCCACCATGTGCCTGCGTGCACTGCTCGGCGCCAGCACACGGCCAGTATCTGTTCACAGGTAAGGGGCAAGTCCAGGACGACCTGGAGGACACAGAGCTTAAGTCAGGATCCCTTCCTCTCCAGGACTCTGATGGCAGGGGACAGGCCACACCAGAAAACATTGGAAAGGACTGATATAAAGGAGGAAAGACTTTTTTTATCAAAAGAGCAGCATAAAAGAGAACAGTAGAGGCCAGAGGATTAGAGTCACAGGCCCGTACCAGGGGGGTTGGTCCTCTTGGGTATGTTCTGAGGTTCTTCAGTTGGTCCAAAAATATTAGAAGCCATCCTGTCCGGCCTGCGTGGAGGTGCGGCTTCCTCTGGACGATCGCCCGGCTCTCCTCCCGGAGGCTTTGCGGCCCTGCAAACAGAGAAGGTGTGAGGGACTGACGGCGGCTGGCCGGGGCACCATCGTCCAGGGCTGAGGCAGACATCTGTGGAGGGGCACAATGCGCTCATAGCCAGCCGGCAAACCTCCCCACCTGCCCTTGAGTTCCCATAAAGGTTTTCTCTGCACAACTTGGTTCTGCCAAGACCTCCAGAGTTGTACATGCTCTCAAGTTACTGCTGGGACCTCTCATCAAAAAATTAAGTTTCCCTGAAACAAGCAAATGGAGCTAGTTCAGTAGAGTTTCACTGTCATTAATTAGCAGACAGTAGTGCTGGGGCATGTGACAACACAGTGCAAGTGGACCACGGCAGAGGCAGTGACCATAACACTGACGCTTGCCTGGAGGGGCCCATGCTCATCAAGGCCCACCCCTCCACCCCCAACAGCCTATCCCCATGTCCCATAAAAGCTACCAGAGTCAAGCGGCAATACAGACTTGGATTAAATTCTTTACAAATGTACGCCCTACAGCTTAAAAGACCTCAGGTTAACAATGGCTGAAGCATAACGCTTTTAAAATCCCTTTAACACCAGATAATCCCTTAGCAAGAAAACAAAAGCAGGGCTTTAAGACGGAAATCTGACCTAGTCCTCTTAACAGCCACCACTTGATTCCCTTCCTTTAACATGGCCTCAAAACCCACAGCTGCTAACAGATCCCAAACATGCATGCTTAGTGGCTCAGTCGTGTCCGACTCTTTGCAACCCCATGGACTGTAACCCATCAGGCTCCTCTGACCATAGGATTCTCTGGGCAAGAATACTGGAGTGGGTGGCCATGCCCTCCTCCAGGGGAATCTATCCAGACCCAGGGATCAAACATGCTTCTCTTGCGTCTCCTGCAGTGGCAGGCAGGTTCTTCACCACTAGCACCACCTGGGAAGCACCACCCCAAGCAGAGGCTCCCAATTAATCACCCAATTAAGAAGGTGGCTTTTCCTTCTCCGGCATCCTACAAGGAAAAACTTTCCCCTCATCTTCTCAAAACAACTTAACACTCCAGAGAAGTGAGGTATCAGTTGAGAGCACCCGCTCTGCACTGTCTCCCACAGCTTGGAAGCCAGCCCAGGGGCAGTGGTCCTTGTGGCGCGTTCTCGCTAACTGCACCAGTGTTTGCAGGGCACCCAGTGCCAGGCCATGTAAACAAAGACAGAGTGTCCTTAGTGCACACAACTGAGAAAGTGCTGGGAGGCAGCCCTCGGCCAGCTGGTGCGGATGCCGAACAGCGGTTTTCAAGGCCAGAAACTTGATTCAATATGAGCACTCCAGGATAAACTCCCAGTCCTGTATCAGCACAGACCCAGACAGGAGGGATAAGTGGTCACTGTTACAGGGGCTAGGGGCTAATGACTGATGATTTGACCAGGAGTAGTACTGAATACTGACCTGACTCCCTCAAATTTGCAGTGATTTTAGCAGTTGAAACAATCCTTTCATTCTATGTACTGTTTACCTCCACAGATGCCACACTCCTCTGCTCTTATTGCCCGACCAGGCCACAGAAAGGGCTCACAGTAAAGGAAATTTTCAGGCATCGGAAGAACCAGCTCGACCTCGCGGCAGACTCCCCCTACGGCAGGACACCTCCAGTCCGGGCAACTCTAAGTGACTCCCAGCACCCAGTGCTCCCCAAGTTAGAAAGCGAGCCAGCGCGCGCTGCACGTTCCTGATCTTTTAAGCCCAGTCGGTCTGCTCTGTCACTCGCTGTCCCGCCTGTTTCCTGGTCAGTAAAGTGGGGGAGGGCGACTCCTGGGTCTCGGGCTGCGGGGTTAGCGGGAAGAGCATCCCCTTGCTCCGGGGCTGCGGAGTTAAGAGGCGAGGGTGTCGCCTGGCTCCTCGACTGCGGGATTCTGGGAAGAGGGCGCCGCTGGCTCCCGGGCTGCGGGCTCCCAAGAAGACACTTCGCCTTAAGGCCGGTCCGCTCGCGCACACGCCACAGGGCGCCGGGGTCCCGGCCGCGCCGCCACGCCCGCCCCCAACTAAAGACCGCTCTGCCGGCGTCTGCGGCGCCCCCGCCCAGGAAGCGGCGCGTGCTGGGGCGGAGGGCGCGGGGAGGCGCACCTCAGGCCTCCCGGGGCCGCAGCCGCGCCCACCTCCCTCACCCGGCCGCGGAGGCCCCGGCTCTGTGAGCTCACCAAGGCCGCCCCGCCGCCCACACGCCCTCCACATGACCGTGCCCACACCCGCGCCGCACCTGGGGCCAGCCCGGCCGCCCTCGCTGTCCGGTGCCCGGAACATGTCGCCCGCCACTCCGAGCCACCAGTCCGCCGCGCCGTCCTTCCCGCCCGGCCCCGCGCGGTCAAAGGCCCGGCCTCTCGTCCCCACTGGGCGTCGCCGACATCAGTCAAGCAGCAGCAGCCTATCGCAGTGTCGGGCTCCGCCTCATGAGACGAAGGCTTGCAGAGGCCCGCGCCAGACACGCAGACCATTGGTGAAAGTAGATGTCGCTCACGGGGCCGGGCGCCACCATTGGATAGCAAGCCGAAGGGGATGGCCCTGAGGTGGGCGGGGCCGGACGCTATCCGGGCACCTTGCCAATACTCTTCGCAGCACCCGGCGGCCTCTAGCCCGACGGCCAACCCAACCCATAGGGCCAGCGTCGAGGGGCGATGAGCACGGTCCAGACTATCCCGAGAAGCCTGGTTTTCGCGAGCCAGTCAATGGCACGTGGATACGTGGCTAAAGGAAATGAAACAGCAGTTCCTCTGTCCTGCACGTCGTGGGGGCAAGAACACTAAGAAACGGGAAGCAAAGGATAAAGCGTGCAGCTGATTCCTGGTTGGAAAAAAACAAGAATAAAACACATTCATTGGTGTTGTTTCTAAATTACACTGTTGACAGTCCATCGATTCCTCTGAGATCGCACCAGATGATGGCCACTTGGGCTGTTTGCAGAGTGCACAGTTAAAAAGAAAAAAGCAGAAACAGTAATTATTAGACCAAGTATTAGTATTGTATTTATGCACAATAATAAAAACAGATTTACAAGTTCAACTGGAAATTTAAACATAAGAAGTTTAACAGCTTTTATTATATTAAATAACCAAACACCTTTTATTCCCCAAATTGGTAAAGAATAAATAATATAATTTACAATATGGTACAAAAAATAATCAGGAAGGACAGGCATTCTGCTTTATACATACACTGTATATGTATATTTATAATCTATAAAACAAATTCACATCTCAAACAAGCCGAAAACTTCAGATGATATGGCTTAACGATTATTAGAAGAAACAGCAATAATCTCTGCTTCCCAGAAGTCCGGGAGCAGGCTATCCTGCCACCGAACAGCAGGGCGGGCTGCTGTAGTGCTTCCAGGACTTGCTCCCCTCACATGACATACAAGGTACTGCAGGGTTAGGAGTTTGTCTGACAGCCAGGAAAGATTTGCTCTGGGTTTTTCTTTTTTTAAGACAAAAGTGCCATATTTCCTCCTAAATGCATTTGGGATAGATTTCAACGTGAAAAAGAAAAAGCAACTGCCAGTTTCCTTCTCCCATTTGTTTCAAGTGTTTTTTATTCCATGGCCTTTCTTTGCACATGTTTGGATTCAGTGGTGTGATTGCGTTAAAGATGCTATTAAACTGAAGAGACACCACCAGTAATGAGGCTGCGGTACAGAATGGAGAACAGGACTGATGCGGGAAAGCGAGTAGATCAGCCCATGAAAGGGGTCCAAATATCCCTCCACCCTGAGCAAGTACTCTACACCCAGGAGACATAGGGGACCATCAGCTGGCCTCTTTACCTTCTGAAGAATGGACTGCTCATCACTGAGTATTCACAATGAAGAATCAAGACAAAAACAACTGCCTAGAGACGGGGGCTGTTCAGTCTCACTCTTTAGGGGAGATGAGCCAGCAGAAAGATCCCTGATGACGTCAATGATGAGAGAAAGGCTTTTCTGAGACTGACCTGGTCTTAATCACGACATACTTCCAACGTACAAAGAAGGCCATAAGTGCGGAGAGATGATCACACCTCCCACTGCAAAGGCAGAGGGAGATGCTGGAAGTGGGAGGCTTCTCCACTTGGGTCTTGAAAAATCCCAGCCTTGAATGTAACAGTTGCTTATTTGTGTACATATATAATTATTCAGGCTGGGAGAAAATGCATCCAACATCTTAATGCTACATATGACACTATTTTCCCTTATTATGGCAAGCAAACAAACCTGTCTGGTTTCTAGAGAAGCAGCATTCTCTGTACTCATGTCAGCCTCACAGGTGAGAAGAGTCAATCCTCGCCTCAGCAACCCACCTCCCACTGCAGACAGTGGCCAGTCAGCTACCCCCACACGGAGTCTATGCACGAGACAGGCAGGAGGTGCTGCTGAGACAAGGCTGATCCAAACCGCCAGGGCCTTCCTCAGGCTAGACATCACCAGGTGACAGGTACCCACCTCCCCACCAGACCGCCTCAGGGCGCCCCCTGATGGATGGACAGCCTGGGGTCTCGATGGTCCCCAGTGCGGTGCGTGCTGCCACAGGGCACTGCCCCCAGCATGGGTGCAGTAACCTGACTTGGCATCGCTGGTCCCAGACAGTGGGGAAAGGAGAAAGCTGGTAGTGGCCTAACCTCGGCCCAGCCCACTGTAGACCTAGCAGAGTCGGATGCCCAGAGGCAGATCTACTGATCTTGTTTGGCTCGGTAAGGTGCTAACTTCAGGAAGCTGACACACTGATCACAACACACAAGCTAATTTAGAGACTGTGGACTCAAATACTGCTGTCTCCCCTCACAAAGCGGTGCTACGCCCCTTTCTTTCAGACCTCCAGGGGCTTGGAACGCTCTTCTCAAGGGCCCAGAGTAACTGCCCACACAGGCTTTTCCTCTGACGTCTGTGCCCAGATCCACAGCTGAAAGAGGGAGACCCCTGACAGGCTGGAGCTCTGGGAAAGCTCGAGGCAGGAGGGAGCTGGGGAGGCAGTGGGGCCGAGTGGCCCCTCCGGAGGCACATGCCGAGGACCCTCTGCTCTGCCTTGCGTAGTGGCTCAACTCTCAAGGGCACGGGAGGAGCCAGAGGAGAGGCCTAGCTGGCTGGGAAGGCTGCCGGTCCACTGCGAGCTGGGGGGAGGTGAGGGGACAGACACAAACAGGGTGGGCTGGGCCGGATTCAAGAAGCCACACTGACTGCAGCTGCCAGGTGGAGGGTGGGCAGCGGATGGGTTGGGAGCCCAGCACTACAGCACTGGCGCCCGCCCACAAGCGGTGTGCCTGGAGGGTGGTCTGCGCCTTGGGCCCACCAAGGCCGAGAAGACAGAGGAGCCCCGTTAGCTCCACTGGGGAAAGCTTGGACACCGGACTCCCTGCTGGTCACCCGAGACGGCACAAGGAGCACACCAGAGGGAGGTGGATTCGGCGCACTCTGACTGCGCCCGATGTCTGATCCCTGCCTGGATTCCCAGAAGGGACAGAAAGAAGGAAGAGAAGCAGGAGACCATGAGGCAAAGTGCAAGCAAAGGACTGTATACGTGCACTTGGGCATACTCTGCACTGACGTCAACAAGAGGAAGAAAGAAGTTCCCCTGCAAAGGGCATCTGTCCAAGACGCCAGGGAGGAAGGTGTCAGAGAGTCAAGATCATCAGGAAGGTCTAATCTGTAGTCAGACGAGCGCTCAGGGGTCCCCTGGTGAGAGAAACATCTCAGGTCACTGGGAAGAAACCTGCAGATGGATGCGAGGAAGAAACCAACTGAACAGGGACCTGTTCTTCCAATGTCTCCACCATCTAATTCTTAAAATACAAGAAAAACATTTTCTGACCAGCTTAGCAGGAAGTCCACACAGCCCACAGAAGACATGATTCTCTTCCCTGTCCTGTTGAGCCAGTCAGGACAAAAGCCCAGATGACGGAAGCGCTAGGTGGAACCAGGACTTCTAGAGAGACGGCACTCAGCATGCTGCCCGGGACCCTCTGCTGCCCTGTGAGCGGAGCATCCCCTGCAGTGTCTGCCGTCACGGTGCAGACACCACCAGGCAGAGCCAGGCCACACCCCGCTGTCGGGCTGCAGGGACGACCACCGGAGCACAGCAAGGGTTTGGCAAAGAGAAGGCAGCAGTGGCCTGGAGCCTCCCTGCGGAAAGCAGGAGGTCACAGCTCCCCAAGCCACAACGATGAAAGCCAGGCTCAACACTCCTTCCTCTTGAAAAGAAACCCCTAAACGTCCAACACAACCACCAAGGTGGAAGTATGGGCACCGTACAGACCCCGACCCACGCCCCTGCCACGGGTGGCTCGACCCCACTGCCACAGCTGATGCTGGCCCTGCCGGACTCCACACGTCCTGGCCCCACTCCTTGGCCGGCAGGACGGGGCTGTGTGCACATCATGCGTCCTGGGTGCTGAGATGCCTCTGCTCAGACTGTCTCCAGGGAGTCCCAACTTGACCTGCGTTCCCTCCCTTCTGAAGACAGCTCCCCCGGACACTTGAGGACCACCAACGGGGTCCACTGCCCTCGCAGCCCCCAGCTGCCTCCACCTCGAGGCACCGTCACTGGGACAGGTCAGTGACTGGGGGGCCGCCTCCCCCACCATCAAACAGAGCCTCCCGGCGGCTGGGCTCGGCAATGGACAGCTCCTGGGCCAGGTCGTTGAACCGAGAGATGTAGTCAACGCTGTTCTCGTTCATCATGCACACCAGCTGTGAGTCCACAACCTGCAGGCGGGGACGGGGAGATCTGTCAGCAGGTGGCTGGACACCACGGCCGGACTGCAGTGCGCGTCCCTCCACAGTGAGAGTTAGAGTCCCCTCAGGAGCCACCTCACACGGCCCCGAGCTCCAGGCACAACCTCAGCGTTGTCACTGTGAACCTCGCTCTGTGAACAAGTGACACTGCCCGGCGGTCGGGTCAGAGTGGCAGGTCTCCCACCCACACGAGACTTCTGGGAGGATGGTCAGTGGCCAGAGGGGCAGAGAGGGGGCAGTAGCTTGGTTCTACTCCAAGGCTGCCTGGAGGAGGTACAAGTGGACGAGGGTGTTTGCACGGGTGTGCGTGACACAGGCGTTCTGAGGCAGGGTGTGCGGGCAAGTGCGGGAGCCAGCCTTGTAAAGACCTGAGGGAAGCATGCCTGCAAGAAGAGACAGCAGGTGCAGAGGCCCTGTGGGAGCAGCCAGCTGTTCAAGAAACAGGAAAGATGGTGGAAGAGATGAGTGAGGCAGAGAGTGGAGGGGAAGACCTGAGTGTACAGTGGGGCCTCTGGCGTCAGGACAGGGTCCTTTGGGCAGAGCCGGTCCTGGCTGGACCAGACAGTCAGCCACAGAGGATGGGGACTCTGACCAGTCAGCTCAGGGCCTCCAGCAGTGCCTGGCCCCCGAGAGGCCCCACTTGGCACTCTGTACTGGTTTCTTCCTGCAGATGGGCTGCAGGAGCCTGGCAAATCTGGGGTGGGGGCCAGTGCTCAGACTCGGGGTGAAGCCAGGCGCTCACCTCAGCAACGTCGGCCAGGGACCGGGACACAAAGGAGTCTCGCGAGTTCCCATCTAGCAGGCTGGGGCCCAGCAGGGAGGTGCCGCTGCTGGTCCCGACAGGGGTGGGCAGCATCTTCCGGCTCTTCTCCGGGGAGATGAAGCTCGCTGCACGAAGGAGGGAGAAGAGGCCTGAGCTGCTGGGCCTGGACCCACCAGGCATCTCACCGCTCACACGTACACGGCACTCTAGATGGAGGTGTCTGTCAGGCTGCATCTGCTCTGCCTCCCGTGCTGAGCCCTGGAGGGTCTGCCGCAGCCCAGGGACGTGTCACCGTGTCCCATGGTGTGGTCACCACCCTACCACCATGTGAGCTTGTTTTCAAGTCTCACGACTTCTCTCTGATGTGGCCCTGAACTGCTCCCTGTGACTCTCTGAGCAGGAAACTCATTGGGAGGACTGGCTCCCCAGTGCCACCCAAACCAGAGCCCCGTCTGTTCTGGGCTGCCAGGTGTCATGCCCTCCCTGGTGCTGACCCGGCTTGCCAGGGTCCAGAATGTCCCGCGCCGAGCCGGGTGTACACCCTGGCCACTCTCTACAAGTGCAAAGTGTGCGGGTCCCAGACCTGCCACAGGAGCGCCTCGGCAGGAGACGGAAGCCGGCAGGTCTTCTCCTGACATCTCCTTCCCGACACACGAGCTCCCACTGCCGGGGTGTCCCGATGCCAGCTCCGTGCAGCCGGCGCCCTCAGACTCACCGAACAAGCTGCTGAGGGATGAGTCTGTGGGATCGCTAGGGCACCACTGGGGGTCGTGGGTGGGAGAGGCGATCCAGTCTGGCTGGGGGCTGCTGGACGGGGAGGGCAGGCTCTTGGAACTGTCGCTGCCATTCAGTTTTGCTGGAGAGAGGGGGACTCCTTCACCTGTCAACCAAAGTTTGGGGCCAGACACCATGTGGGGTGAATGGCTGAGGAGGCACGGCATGTGCAGCTGATCTGGGAGGCCCAGGACCCCACTAAGGCCCCGCGACAGCAGGGACATGCACCCATCACCAGACATTAACACTGGCCACAACAGACAGAGGCAGGCCCCGTGCTGAGGGTGGCACCTGAACCCTCCTGCTACTGCTGACAACAGTTCTGCAAGATGCCTGCTGTCCTCAACGCCCCAGGGAGGGGAACACGCTCAAAGGGGCCAGTCACTAGCCCCTGATGATGTCCTGCCAGCCACTAACTCAGCTCTGAATCCACGGCTGGACTTGACCAGCAGGTGCCAACCACACTGCCTTCTGTGGCGCCGTCTCCGGGAGCTGGGGAACCAAAGCCCATGGGTACCAGCCCAACCCCTCCTAGAACCTGCCAGCCAGCAGGCATCACCCCAGTTCAGAGCCAGGGAGGAGATAGCCTGCCTGACCCCCAGGCCAGGGATGCCATGTCAGTCCCTCTGTATCCCAAAGCCTGGGCAGTCACTCCAGACCACCATGGCTCAGGCCAAGGCTGGTGGTGCCTCATAGACGCAGAGGCTCAACGACCAGAAGCAGAGCTGAGCTGGACAACAAGGTGCCCAGAAGCGGCAGTCAGGCGGGAGGTCAGTTCCCCGAAGGAACCATGCCTGGGAGGCCGGCAGTGGCGCTTGTGGGCTCACCGTACTGGCCGGAGCTGATGGCGATCTCAATGATGGAGTCACTGATGTGTGTGGCGGGCTCTCCCTGCGAGAGCACGTCCTCAGGTGGGCCGGGCAGGGAGATGTCCAGCAGGGCAGAGACATTAGGCGGGGAGAGCCGCGTGCTGGAGGCGTCCGAGGGGGGCAGTGGTGTGGAGAGCCCATTGTGGACAGGGGCCTTGGACAGCTCGGACAAGGAGAGAACGGGTGGGTTCTGTGGAGACAGGCACTGTTGAGACATGACAGAGCAGGAAGCCGTATTGAGGCGCGAAAACCAACCAGGCCCCGCAGAGCAGCAACTGAGGACGGCGACAGCAAGAGGCAGAGACCCCAGACGCTTCGCACTCTCCCCCAGGAAACACCCCTGGGGAGTCACCACCCCCGGGAACCCTGGGGGACCGCAGAGTCGAGAGGTCGGGCAAAGGTGGCCTGGATCTGCTTCCACCCCCAGCTGACAAACTCTTCTCCGTGGCCCAGAAAACTTAAGTCCCTGCAGGATTGTGTCTCAATCAGCCAGCTTGCAGAGGGAAGTTGGCAGCCTGAGATGGGAGCCATGTGTGCATGATCGAGGCAGGTGCAGGGAGGCATGGCCACCGGGCATCACGGGGAGGAAGTCCAGGCCCATGAGCAGGACCATAAGGTGGGACTTGGCACTCCCCGGGGTGTGGGGCAGCTACTTTGCTCAGCAGTCAGCAGTTCACTCTACCTGGAAACCGTCGGCCATTGGCTCCTGCCTCGAGGGGACGCTGATGAATGGGTCACTTGTGGCCTACAGCAACACAAGGAACATGCCGGTGAGTGCTGGCCAGCTAGTACCAGGCTCCCAGGGGAGCCGCTCCAGCCCACAGCTCCTCACAGGCAGAAACCGCTTCCTGGGGGGCAAGAAAGCCCGCTGCTCTCAGAAAGTGCCCCCTTGCACCTCCCCAAACTGAAGACCATTTGTCAGTCCACAGCCAACTCGCCACAACAAGAGGTCGAGCTCGTGGTACCCAGGCAGGTCTGGCTCTGCAGTCCTAAAGGGCTGCCCGCAGGGCAGGGGGCCGAGGCAGCGCTCAAGTGCCCGGGAGTCCTGGGCTCATCACCCGTTCTGCCTCCGTCCACGGCTCACCCACTGCACCACGTGGCCTCACTCAGGCCCCAGCCTCCCTGTTCAGTGACCTCCTGCTTCCAAAGTAGAGCTGGAGTTCCACACCACCTCACTCTGCGGCTGTGACTCTCAGGGACTGGACCCTGACATGCCACCCCTGGAGCTGGTGGCAGCTGGGAGAAGCCCTCTACACACACTCACCCCTACAGCGGGGAGGGGGTCTTCATTCTGGTGGTGGCCGGTGGAGTCTGGCCCCGTGACAGCCGCCGTCACCTCATCTGAAGACAGTGGGGCGATGCCAGACAAGCCATCCGTGTCCAGGACTGGCAGGGGGCTCCCAGGGATGATGCCAGCACTTTTAGCTGCTAGGTCGATAGCACCTGGAGAAGAAGCAACGTGCAAGCCTCTGCTCTCGTGACACCCGACGCCCACACGGAGGGGACCCCCACATGTAGGCCTCGTGTGCATGTCAGGCAGAGTCGCAGACTTACTGGCCAGGGGGCCTGTGGCCTGTGCGGGGAGGACCTTGGGCACGATTGGCCGGGACACAGCTGCTTTGGCCAGGGAGGACTGGACGGGCCGGAAGGAGCCTCTCCCTGTGAGGATGATAGCAGAAGCAGACAGGTCAGCCACACAAGCCAACAGCTGTTGGGCACGCAGCGGGGCTGCACACACTCCCTTCCAGGCAGTCTCCTCCACAGCCACGGCCCCAACCAGAGCTAAGCCGAGCTGGAAACCACTGAACGTCAACACTTGCCAACTTGGGGAAGTCAGCAGTCACAGAGGGTCCCAGTGGGCAGAAAGCGCTGTTGCCTATGACAGCGGCACCACTGCGCCTCCTGGGGGCTGCTGAATGGCTGTGGTCATGGCTGTCGACCCCAGGAATAGCCCTTTAAGGGTCCTTGAGCTAAGTCACAGGTTCCTCTGAGGTGGTCAGAGCCTCAGATCTAGGGCCAAAATTCTGTCTTTTCCACCTGGCTCATTCCTGGCAGGCATTCTGCCATTGAAAAGTAGTTGTGAGAAAAAGCCATTGATCACTGTCTGGATCTTGGGAAATGAAGACCAATAGGATAAAGCATGGAATACGAGCTTCACTGAAGGAATCTCACTGCAAAAGATTCACTTCAGAGAGCAGGGGCCCCTCTGAGCTTGGGGGAGCATGGAGCATGCCTCACGTACCCCACTAAACTCCTGAAGACATCATGGACAGGGTGGACAAGAGACCCTTCTCTAAAGTGAACTGAGCACAGCACCCCGTCCAGGGCCACGTGAGCCCACCTGGGGAGGAAAGTGCCTGCAAACCACTGGTCAGCAGCCCACACCTGCCTGCCCACACCACTGCCTGGGCCCACTGCAGCTGCACCCCCTGCGTGCGTTGACAGAATGGACCCAGGAAAGCCCGGAAGGTAACTCAGAGAGCCAGGGGACAGACGCCTGTGTTCTCCAAGTCGGGGCTGAGAGGAAAGGAAAGCTTCCCAAGGAGCCGCGGTGCCCACCGGTCACAGAGGAATTCGACAGGATGGAGAAGGAGCAGACGTTGTGGGACTGGTTTTCAGATGGCCTCGGAAGCAGCGTCCTCTGTGGAGAGAAACCAGGAAGGGTGGCCCCCACCAGCTTCGAGCAGCAGGTTCATGCCGACGCAGCCGGCTGTCGACGTCAAACGCTGAGCGCCAGCCAGAGAGGCCGGAGGCACGGCAGCCCTGGGGGCACAGGGGGCCTCCCTGGGCTCTGCCAGGCGCCTTGAGCCGGTGCGCTGGCTGTCCACGAGGTGAGGGGCCCAGGATCCCTGGCCAGCTCTGCGCCTCTTTGAGAGGGCCAGGCAGGAGGACCTGCAGGCTCTGGCCGTGTGGTCTGTTACGGCTACTTGTGTCCACCCCGGTGCTGTGAGAGCAACTGCGCACAGCAGGGAAGTGAGGGACCGGGGCTGTGTGCCAGCGCAACTCTTACAAAAACCGTTAAGTGAAGGAACCACAAATGAAGTGTGATTCTATTTATGTGAAATGCCCAGAACAGGCAGCTCCCAAGAGACAGGAAGTGGCTCCAGGGTTGGGAGGGGGCGGTGCAGGTAAGGGGTTCTGTTTGGGGCATGAGAAGATTCTCGGATGACGCAGCAGGAGGGCTGCATAACCCCATGAACATGCTAAAAACCCTGAACTGTACGCTTTAAACGGGCAGGCTTCGTAAGTATCAATAAACTTGTTGACAAACAACACAAAGTAGCCATGGGCAGGCAGCAAGGGCATTCTGGCTGCAACACTGGACCACAGCGCGTCCTCCAAGCCAGGAAGTGTCTATGTATTTAACCAAAAACACTAAAAATTAAATGCCCCAATGTTATATCAGGCTGCACAAAAAACATGGGGCACTTGGAATACATCTTCCTTTCTGAGGTCTGTGATGCAATGCCTCATTCCTAAATAAATTAATTCCAAAAGAGGAACAGATTTCTGCATCTAATAAAAGGAGAACTATGCATTAATTCACAAACATTCATCCATTTCCAAGCCTACAGTTCTTTGAGCGCCACCTCCTTCATCTTGTCACCTCCACGTAAAAACGCCCCCTTTCTCCTGTGCCTTTCACACCCAGCTCTCCCCTGTGGGTCTGCAGGCCGCGTCCAAGGGTGCTCCCAGCTTCATGATGACGAGCCTAGGGGAGGTCTGGCCTCTGGCCGACCCATAAACCTTGCCAAATGCTTCCACTGATGTTTATAAATAGATGTTCTGAGAGCCTCAAATATAGTCCAATCTCAGACATTCTTGGAACCCAAATCCCTAGAACTTTTCTTTCTTTTCCTTTAAGCAGTTTTCATGCTGTGCCGAGACTGCCTTTATTTTCAGGTACAGTTACAATCGTTGTGACTACTCTATCTTTCCTAATTACTAATAAGGAGAAGGAAAGGATAAGGACTTCCTCACTTCACATGGAAACCTGAGACACAGGAGAACACGAGCGTGTCCTGAGCAACCTGGCTGGCGAGATGGCCCAGCCCTCAAGGAGGTGTGCAGGTGGGCGGGGTGCTGACCTGGACCACCAGTGGCTTCCGCAGGTGCCGGTTTCGCAGCTTCCTGGGCTTTGGCAGGAAAAAGTCCGACTGCATCTGTGGGGAGACAGTGCTGGGCTCAATACGCCCTGTCCGTGGCCAGGTGGCCTGACAGCCAGGGGGCAGGGCCCCACTTACACTGATGGAGCTCAGGTGCTGCCGGAATGTCAGCTCTGTCTCCTTGTTGGGAAAGAAGAGCTTCCCATGCCGGCTGTTGGGCGGCAACGTCGTTGGGACGGCAAAAAGGCCACCATCTGAGTCGCTGCTGCCCGTGCTGGCGGGACTGGCCACCAAGAGGGGCCTTGGAGGGTTTCTCAGACCTAGAGACGGAGAAGGGAGATGACAGCAGTACTCCCCGAGCAACACCACCAGTGCAGAAAGGTGTCCACCGGGAAGAAAATCAGAAACAAATTCTTGACAACCCTATCTGCTGTCCATGGAAGAAATCTCCTGTATATCCATCCTGTAAGAAGCTGCTTTTCTCCTTCTCTCCCTGAAATTCTGGTCCTCACCAAGTAATTACATCAGAGTTTTCCTTGACCTCTGCTGACCTCAGTGGAAGGGCAGATGCACCTTTTGAGTCATCCAGTCTAGACCAGAGGTCAGCAAATGCTCTCTGGACACAGCCAGACAAGAAGTCAGCCTTGAGTACACGGTCTCTGCTGAACTCAGCACAAAAGCAGCCACAGACAACCTGTGAGCCAGTGGCCATGTAAATAAAATAAAACTTTATTCACAACTTGATTTAAATAAAGTTTACAATAAAACTTCATTTACAACCAGCAAGCTGTGGACCATGGTCCACTGATCCTCTTGGTCTTAGTCTGATTATACAGAAAAAAGACCCAAAGATAAAAGGACAAAATATTTATGAACTACCATTTGGGGACTCCGGGCTTCCCACATGGCATGGCAGTAAAGAATCTGCCTGCCCATGCAGGAGACTCAAGAGATGTGGTTTCGATTTCTGGGTCAGAAGATCCCCTGGAGGAGGAAATGGTCAACCACTCCAGTATTCTTGCCTAGATAACGCCATGGACAGAGGAGCCTGGCGGGCTACAGTCCATGGGGTCGCCAAAGTCGGCCATGACTGAACAACTGAACAACATTTGGGGACTCTGCTCACTGTTTTCATCACAGCTACTGCAGCTTATTTCATGGAAGAGACGGGTCCCCTTTCTTTGTTCTTTATTTGCAAATCTGTGAGACTGAATCAACACACACTGAGTCCAAGAGACCGTATCTTCCCAATGCCTGTCAGGATTCTAGAACTGCAGGTTCCTTGGGCCAGAAGCATCCTCAATCAAAGGAAAATGTGGGTATTTAAGAGTTCACAGAATTACAAAACTGAAGCCCAGAGAGAACGTGGAGAAGATCACACAGCCTACCTGCTGGCACCACCCTGGTTCAGCTCTGATGAACGTGCCTCTGCCCTGAGGACAATGGGCTCAGAGCCTGTGGCTGCCCCACAGGGGGCCACTACCAGGAGAAGGACCAACACCAGGAGGGAAACAGAGAACACGACAGCAGGAGAAGGGGACCTGACACTCCACCAGCTTCGTTCTTTACAATTCATGCAGAACGAACAATTCCAGCCACAACAATGTATTTTTTCCAATAAAAATAGTAAGTAAATCGACGCCTGAGGGAAACCGGTTTTGTCTGTCCTGGGGTTTTATGTGCCACATAACCGAATAAGAGACCCTGAACTTAAATTACTTCACAGACACAACTGTGGACCAGCAGGTAAGCCCGTCTTGCTTTCCAAGATTTGTGTTCAGCTGTTGGGGAATCCCTTAACTGAAGGCCTCACTATTCTTTCAGAGGAAAAGAAAAGCAGCCTTTGTAAGACTCAGAAAGAACCAGCCCTCCTCAGGCTCTAAGCCACCAGTTCAGCAGGACACAGAGGCTGCAGGTGACCTCAGAAGGCAGGTCCCCCAAGGTGAACAAACTGGTCAGGGTCCCCCACATCTCCTGTCAGCTCCCACACCCAGTGCCCCAGGGCTTTTGTGCTGGGCCCTGCTCTTCCCCTCCCCGTGAGGCGGTGGTGAGTTCTGTACCCGCACGCCATCCACCAGCCTGTGGCAAACACAGTGGAGCCCCCAGGCCCCTGCAGGCCCAGCACCGCATGTGGCCAGTCGAGCCTCACCTGAGGAGCAAGGTACGGAGCTGGGCGAGAAGGCCTTGCTGTGGCGGAGGGCAGCCTGGTTTCGGGGGCAGCGTGGGCTGCGGGAGCTCACGGTCACCACCTTTCCTGGCGGTGTCGTTGACTGCTCCTCCTGGGCGGGCCTCACAGAGGCTGTGGAGCCAGTGTTCGTCTCTGGAGCCTGGGACAGAAACGGGCCGGGACATGGACCAACTCAGCACATGGACGATGCTTCTGGACCAAGTGCCCGGGGCGGAGGCACAGAAACACACGAGTGCAGAAGGACAGCAGAGAGCCAGAGGTCACACGCCATGACACACAGTCAGCGCCCCAGGCCCCCAGGCAAAGAGCTGCTGTCCTCTGGGAGCCCTCTGTCTTCATTGCCATGGTGGTGCAGACAGGCTGTCCCCCTCAGTGACAGGAGGGGATGCCGAGTGGCAAGCCACAGGGACTCACCTTCTTAAAGCCTCTTCTGTGAGTCAGAGAAAGGAAACACAAGAGTAATTTCTAAAGCTAAACACAAGTTCGGCCAAAGAGCCCTCTGCTGAGTCAAAACCCCCACCTCAGGGGTTTCGTGGGCCTGCCCGAGGCCACAGCCTCCGCAGGCGCGGCTGCCATTGAGTGCCCGGGCCCCCACCACACGGGCACCCCTTCCACTCACCACACCCTGTGACTTCACCACCCCAGCCCCCAGTACCACTGCTCTCCTGCCAGGAGAGCCGACTCTTCCGGCCCACGTGGGGCTCTGCTCGCTGGCCTTGGCAAGGCCCACCCGGCAGGGCGCCCTTTCCCAGGGTCATCACAGCAACTGCCCCCCGAAGCGGGAGGCTGGCGAGGAACCGAAGACCACTCCAACCAGCCACCTCCCAGGCAGCTGCCCACCAGGTCCCCGGGGCACACTCCACCGAGCCCAGCCCCCACCCAGCTTTGCTCCCTGCGCCCTGGCTGTGCCCCGACCGTCCCCCCAGGAAGGCTTTTCCCAAGCACATTGAAACCTGCACTGTTCCCAGCTCCGGGCCACGCTGCCCCCATGCCCCCGTCTGATGCTTGTCCCCGTGGCCCACACGTTCAGGCACAGTGGCCTCCCCGCAGCTGGGGAGCCCCCCGGGACAGGACGAGGGCCTGCACCACAGGGCACCAGGGCCCTGATTGCCTACCCTGTGCACCCCACCCTACTCCAGGGAACCACAGGCCAGCCCTGGACCAGCTCCTCTGGGAGCCCCTGGGCCCCGACCAACTGCCCCGAGGCCAATCCCTCCTCTCTGGACCCCACTTACCAGTCGGGGGTTGACCTCAGTGGAGATGAGCTTCAGGAGGCAGCTGAGAAGGCGCTGCTTGTGGAAGGCGGCGGGCGGTGGGCTGGCGTGGGGTCCTGGGGCGTCTGGGCCCAGCACCGCCAGCCAGTCGTACTCCAGCTGCAGCTTGCTGGGCTTGCCCATCATGAGGTAGACTTCAGCCAGCGTGAGGCTCTCGGAGGTCTGCAGGTTCCAGCCCTCCTCTCGCAGTTGCTGGGCCAGCCGGCTGGCCGGGACGTCCTTCGGAGGCTTGGTGGCAGGCTGGCCCTGAGGTGGAGGATCCGAGGGGCTCACCTTCTCCTGAGGCTCCTCCACAGGTGCGTCCGCCAAGTCTTTAGTGCAGACGTCTGGCTGGAGCCCGGGGCTGGGCTGAGGCTCCAGGCCAGGCGGGCCACAGACAGGGGATGGGGCCCTGGCCTGGCTGAGGTCAGCCCCCTCCGTGCCACGGGCCTCTGGGGAGGGCCAGGCCATGGGCCGCGGATCCGCACGGCGGCCCTGCTCGGGAATGATGAGGTCCTGGCAGGACTTCATGTAGCGGGGGAAGGGGTCCAGCAGGGACAGCTCGTCCTCCAGATCTGGGAGCTGGCTGCAGGCACACACTGGCGCCCCGGGCTCTTGGGCGGGGCCGTCTCCGCCCTCTGCAGTGGCAGTTGCTGGGGTCTTCTCAAGCCGTCCCCCGGCATCCTGCAGCCCCGGGGGGAGCCTGTCGGAGGCGTCTGGGCTGCTGAAACTTGTGGCAGCCCCCTCCCCAGGGGCACTTTCTGGGGAACTTTCCCCGGAGCTCTGTGAGGCATCGGTGGAGGGAGGGGGCCGCCCCCCGGCCTTGGCCTCAGAAACGGCCCTGGGGCACTTCAGCTGGCCCCTGGCCGTGCCCTGCCCGCTCTGGATGCCCAGGATCTGGGCTGGGGGCAGCGCGTGGGTGTCCTTGGCGCTCTGCTTGCACCGGCCGCCCTCCTGCCAGTGCACCGTGCAGAAGGCCTTGGAATGCACCACGCGGGCCACACCTGGCAGCGGTGTCAGGGTGCAGTTCTCGCCCGGGAACAAGTGCAGCGCCACCTTCTCCTGCAACGGCTCCGAGAACGAGTCCTGCAGCTGCCGCTCCTCCAGCGTCTTCCGCTGAGTGCACCATCAAGGATCCACCCGTGGTAGCTCGTGCCCCCAGGCCACTGGGCCTCAGGGAGACAGGACAGGCACTTCTTTCTGTAGGGGCCCCACACCCATCACTGCCCTCTGTGCTGGGGACCGTGCAGAACATGAAGATGGAGAGCTAACCTCAGTCATTTCCCTCAACCTGCTGGCAGGGGTGCCTTGGCCACAGCCTGTGGGCCACACAGCAGCCATTCAGGCATAGAGGGCTATTGTGCCACGAGTTCTCACACCACGAGGAAGCCACAAAGGGGGCTCAGACCTCAAGCCCAGAGGACGAACGGCTGTGGGTTTTAGTTGTGTTCCACACCATCCCATGGCCCAACTGCTACACCCCAGGGCTCTGCTGCCAAGCCAGGACTGAGAAGGAGATGCCCCCGAATCTCAGGCAGCAGGTGCTGTGGGGTGGGGGTTGTTTCACTAAGAAAAAGATACGATTCGCACTTCATGAAGTGCCCACTTCTGCTTCAGGAACTCAATGAGGCTGGAGACCTTCCGATGTAGCTCCACGATCATCCTGCAGAGAACGACAGACAGAGGCAGGGGCTGGGATGTGCGGGGCCTTCTGGGAGTCCTGAAGGCTGTGGCAGCAAGATGCCGCCGGGCTCTCTAGGCCCGAGCCACAGTGTCCCTGCAGAGCCCCCGGCTTCTTTTCTAACACCAACTGTTTAAACTGGAGGCCCACATGAAACTGCAAGAAGTAAGAGAACCCAAGCGCCCTTTACAGGACGAGGCGTCAACCAGGACAGGGCCTGGCACAACGGCCCTTCTCCTATCAGCTCCTTCAGGGGTCAAAGAGTGGGTGCAGCCTTAATGAAGCCCAAGAAAATAAAAATATGCATGGGAGGAATGAAGTCCTGACCCAGGCTATGACACAGATGAGCCCTGAGACCAGATGCTCACTGAGGTCACACAGAAAGAACCCACGTGCAGTTCTGCTGATGTGAAACATCCAGCACTGGTGAATCTATAAGGACCAGTGTAGGGAGGCCGGTGGGGCCTGGGGAAGGTGCAAGGGGATGGGGAGTGAGTGTTAGGTGGGCGTGGGGTTTCCTCTTGGGTGAAGAAAATTTCTGAAACTAGAGAGGTCACAGCTGTACAACACCGTCAAGGTGCCCAATGCCCTGAACTGGTCCCTTTAAAAAAGCTCACAGTTAATATACAAAATAACGAGAACTAGAGAATGACCCAACCCTGGGTGCCCAGTGCATAGCCAGACACACATCAGAGACATGGCAGGAGAAAAAAGGGAGCGGGTCTCAGGGAAAGAGGCGGGAAGACCCTAAAGCTGCTGGCCTGTGACCTTGCGATGCGTTCACACCCACTCTAAGCCTGCAAAACCACAGCCGGCAACGCAAACGCAGCCCTGGAGTCCGAGGACCTCACGCTGAGGCAGCCCTCACGCGACCCTCAGGTGGCGCCGGGGCACCGGGTGGCTGCTGCTCTCCCAGGGGCCCTTCTAGCCCTGTCCCTTGCAGCTCGCTCCCCTCCAAACATCGAGCACCTCACCTGAGCCGTGGATTCTGGGCGAGGCTCTGCACGCGGGCCCAGGCATGGTTGTTCCGTGGCTGGAGCTCCACAGGGACCCTCAGGGGCAGGCGCACTGGCTTCTGGTCCTCTTCGTCACTCAGGCCTGCGACAGAGGGGGCTTTAGCGCCATCTGTGTGGGCACAGACGGACCTCGAGATGAGGTGAAGCTCTTGGTCAGACCGCTAAGGTGCCCAGAGAGGGGGAGGGGCAAGCAGCCCTGGGGAAAGTTGGAGGGGGTAGGGCGAGGAGCAGCTCTACATCTGCCACAGCCGCCGCACACCCGCCGTGCCAGGCCCTTGGCCCAGCCACAGGAGACTCGCCCTGACACCTACGATGTGCCATCTCAGGACAGCTGGGGCTTCAGAGCTGGACTAGATGCCTGAGTGGACACACCACTGTGCCTGGAGTTGCGGTCCAGGAGTGGATCACCCAGGCTCGGCCACCACAGGACGCCGTGGGACGTTTCCAGCTCAGGCTGGAAATCACTAAACGCAGCCGTCCAGCAAGCCTCCCCAGAGGGAACGGGCCCTCAATGCCTGGCCTGGCCCACCGCAGCGGAGCTGCGTCTGACGTACCATCGGGGTCACAGAGTTTCTTCAAGGCGCGGCACATGGGTGCTTTGATCCGCAGGTTCCTCCCTTTGTACCGGACTGTGGTGGCCCTGGGAGAGGGGTTGAAGGAGCGCTGAGGCCTCAGAGGAGAGCCACTCCCACTCTGTGAAGTGGAGGGCCCCGCCGAGCACCCAGCCTGCCTGCCGGGGCTTGTGCTCGGCCCCGTGAGGGGGCCCCTGCAGAAGCTCCCAGGGCTGCGGGCGTCACACGACGGACGACAAGGCTGGCCTGGACCTCCCTGAGCAGGCAGCTGGCCACAAAGGCAGCGCCCACCGCTCAGGACGCACCTGCCCTCCTGCCTGGTGACCATGAGCACCTGCCACCTCCCACCCAACAGCCTGCTTCCTGGAGGCCCCCTCCCCTCCTCTGCCCCAGAGCAGATGGGCTCACCCACCTTTACGTGACCTCTCAACCCACCCCACCTCTATGAGTCAGGAACGTCACTCAGGCCTCTGCAAACCACACTGGGGGTCGAGTGGAAGCTGGGGCCCTGGAAGCTAGCAGGTGGGGGTGCTACATGCTTGTGCTCCCTGCACTGACCTGCAGCAGGCCCAGAATCAGTGGGGCCTGCCCAACACATGTCATAGCTGGGTGACTCTCTCTCTTGAATACTGCTGTGGCAGCAATTTATACAATGTTCAAATTACATAAAGAAATACTACTACTAATGAAAGAAAAATAAAAGCCACAAAAAATAGCTCCCTCTGAAAACACACTTGTATGCTTTGGCAATACTCAATAAAGGTAGATTGTCTTTAAGACTGCAGCCAAACAAGGTGGGCCAGACAATTACGAAAGATTGGGGGTGATCAGGAAGGTCCCTGCAGCCTCTATGTTCTTGCTCCACTTGAAAACAGGAAATCATAAATGACGTGTCTTGGCTAGAACTTCCAAATAAAACCACCACAAGACTCCATGGAGCAAGCCCCTAAGAAAAGGCATTGGCCAGCCACCCCATGGTTGGTGAACAAACATAAGTTTATGTTTTACAAAAGGTTCAAGGCTGATATCTATTGCTTTTATGACTGTTTTGGTTTTTTACCTATTTTAAATATTGAACTATGATATTGTGTTAGTTTCAGAAGCATAGGTACTGAACAGAGTTCCCTCTGCTACACAATAACTCCATATTTCTTTCTTTTATATATGGTACTGTATGTCTGCTAACCCCCAACTCTTCTCTCTCCACCCCCTCACCCTCTGGTACCCTAAATTTGTTTTCTACATCTACGAATCTGTTTCTGTTTCATAAAAAAGTTCATTTGTATTATTTTTCAGATTCCACCAACGGACATGAGTTTGAGCAAACCCCGGGAGAGAGTGAAGGACAGGGAAGCCTGGAATGATGCAGACCGTGGTGTTGAAACGCTGGACACAACTGAACAAGTGACTGAACAAGTGTCAGTACATGTTCCGCCTATATTCTCTGCTAGGAGCTTTGCAGTGCTGTGCCTTGTATTTGCGTTTTTAGCCATTGTGAGTCTGTTCTTCTCTATGGCGTGAAGGCGTGCCCTAATCTCGCTGATCTACATGTGACTGGCTATCCAGCTGTCCCGATACCACTCGCTGAAGAGACTGTCTTCTCGCACTGTGCACGCTTGCCTCCTCCTTTCTGAAAAGGCAATGGACCAGAGGTGTGCAGGTTTATTTCTGGGCTTTCCATTCTCTCCCACTGATCCAAAGGTCTGTCTTTACATGAAGACCACACACCGTTTGGATTACTGTAGCTTTGTGGCACTGTCTGAAGCCTGGGAGCGTTATGCCTCTAGCTTTGCTCTTTTCCCTCAGGACTGCTTTGGCAGTTCTGGGTTTTTTTGATTTCATACAAAGTTTAGGATTACTTGTTCTCATTAGGTGAAAAACATCATGGGTAATTTTACAGGGATCACATTAAATCTACAGATTGCTTTGTGCAGTATGGCCATGTTAACTATATTAATTCCTCCACTCCAAAAGCATGGGATATCTATTTCCTTGAATCAACTTTGATTTCCTTTATCAGTGTTTTATAGCTTTCAACATAGAAAATTTTCACCTCCCTGGTCAGGTTTATTTCTAAAGTTTTAATTTTTTTTCATGCGATTTTAAGCATGATTTTACTCTTTCTACCCTTGACCTTAACCAAAGGCTGAGAAGTTATTTTTACTCTTTCTGGTATTTCAGTGTAAAGAAATGGTACGGATTTCTGTGTATTAATCTTGTGTCCTACTATGTTACTAAATTCACTTTATAAGTTCAGGTGGCTTTTGCATGCAGTCTTTAGGGTTTTCTATATAGAGTCATGTCATCTGCATATGATGACAACTTTACCTCTTCCATTCCAGTCTGGATGCCTTTTCTTTCTTTTTCCTGTTTGACTGTTGTGGCTATGAGTTCCAATACTTTGTTAAATAGACGTGATGAGAGTGGGATCCTTGTCTTCTTCCAGAAGTTAATAGGAAGGCTTTCAGCTTCTCGTCATTCAGCATTATGTTGGCTATAGGTCTGTCAAGATTGGTTTTTATTACGTTGAAATGTTTCCTCCATACCTACTTTGGTGAGTCAAATGCTTTTTCTGCATCTATTTGAGATGATTGCATGGTCTTTTCTTCTGCTGATGTGGTTAATCACACTGACTGACTCACATGTGTTGAACCATCCTAGGGACCCTGGGACAAATCCAACTTGATTGAAGAATATGATCTTTTATATGTGTTGTTGGATTTGGTTTGCTAATATTGTGCTGAGAGATTTCCAGCTGAATTCATCAAAGATACTGGCTGGTCATCGTTTTTTGGTATTGGCCTAGATTTTCTATCAGGGTGATGGTACACTCACAGACTGACTTTGGAAGTGTTTCCTCCCATCAGCCCTCTGGAAGAGTATGAGAAGGATTAATATAAGTTCTTTGTATGCTTGGCAGAATTCTGCAGTGAAGCCATCAGTCTTCGACTTCTGTTTGCAGGGAGCTTTTTTTAAACTTTTATTGGACGTTTCTGCTGTAGAGCAAGTGCATCAGTTATATCATCTATATACACAAACGCTGCTGTGGCTGCTTAGTCTCTTCAGTTGTGTCCGACTCTGTGCCGCCCCATGGACTGCAGCCCGCCAGGCTCCTCTGTCCACGGGATTCTCCAGGCAAGAGTACTAGAGTGGGGTGCCATTCCCCCCTACTTCAGGTGATTTTCCCAACCCAGGGATCAAACCCAGGTGTCCTGCATTCCAGACAGATTCTTTACTGCTGAGCCACCAGGGAAGCCCATATATATACACACACATCCCTTCTTTTTAAAATTTCCTTATTTAAGTCACCACAATGCATTGAATCCCCTGTGCCATACAGTAGGTTCTCACTAGTTATCTATTTTATACATCTGAAGGGAGTTTTTTAATTACAGATTCTGTTTCACTTCCAGTGACTGGTCTACTCAAATTATGTTTCTTTTTGATTCAGTTTTGATGGGTTGTATATATCTAAAAACTTCTCCATTTCTAACAGGTTGTTCATTTTGTTGGTATGTAACTTTTCATATGCTTATTTAACTTATATGCAGGGTACATCATGAGAAACGCTGGGCTGGATGAAGCACAAACTGGGATCAAGATTGCCAGAAATATCAATAACCTCAGACATGCAGATGACACCACCCTTACGGCAGAAAGTGAAGAACTAAAGAGCCTCTTGATGAAAGTGAAAGAGGAGAGTGAGAAAGTTGGCCTGAAGGTCATGGCCATCCGGTCCCATCACTTCATGGCAAATAGATGGAGAAATAGTGGAAACAGTGGCAGATTATTTTTTTGGGCTCCAAAATCACTGCAGATGGTGAGTGCAGCCAAGAAATTAAAAGATGCTTGCACCTTGGAAGAAAAGTTATGACCAACCTAGACAGCATACTAAAAAGCAGAGACATTACTTTGCCAACAAAGGTCCTTCTAGTCAAAGCTATGGTTTTTCCAGTAGTCAGGCACAGATGTGAGAGTTGGACTATAAGGAAAGGTGAGCACCAAAGAATAGATGCTTTTGAATTGTGGTGTTGGAGAAGACTCTTCAGAGTCCCTTGGACTGCAAGGAGATCCAACCAGTCAATCCTAAAGGAAAGCAGTCCTGAATATTCATTGGAAGGACTGATGCTGAAGCTGAAACTCCAATACTTTGGCCACCTGCTGCAAATAACTGACTCATTTGAAAAGACCCTGATGCTGGGAAAGATTGAAGGCAGGAGGAAAGGGGACAACAGAGGATGAGATTGTTGGATGGCATCGCCAACTCAATGGACATGAGTTTGAGTACAAACTACAGGAGTTGGTGATGGGCTGGGAGGCCTGGCATTCTGCAGTCCATGGGGTTGCAAAGAGTCGGACACAACTGAGCAACTGAACTTTTCATAATATTTTCTAATGATTTTTTATATTTCTGAGGTGTCAGTTGCCGTTTCTTCTCACTTCATTTGGGTCCTCTCTTTATTCTTCTTGGTGAGCCTGGCTAGAGATTTAGCAATATTTTTGTCCTTTTAAAAAACCCAACTCTTGGTTTTATTGATTTTTTTTTCCTATTGTTTAATTTCTGTTTATGTCCTCTCTGGTCTTTATTCTGCTGACTTCACATTTTGTTTGTTCTTCTTTCTCTAATTCTTTTAGGTGGTAGGTTAGGTTTATTTGGGGTTTTTTCTTGTTTTTTTGACAAGGGCCTGTATGACTATAAACTTTTCAGGACTGCTTCTGCTATACCATGGACTTCACATGGTTGAGTTTTCACTGCCTTTGTCTTCACGATTTTTTTTTCTCTTTGATTTCATCTCTGACCTATTGATGATTTTTAGTAGCACACTGTTTAGTCTGTGTGTAATCATTTTTTCCTCATTTCCCTTTCTGTGGCTGACTTCTAATTTCATGCAGTTGTGATCACAAAAGATGCTTGAAATAATTTCTATTCTCTTAAACGTGTTGAGATTTGTTCTATGCCCTAGTATGTGGTCTATCCTAGAATGTTACATGGATACTTATAAAGAATGTATATTCTGGGTTTTTTTGGATGTAGTGTCCTGTAGCTATCAATTAAGTCTAACTGTTC